TATATATTTTTTAGAATCGCCAGACTTCAAGCTTTACAAAGGCGTGTTTGCCATGTCCGTATCTGCATTCTACGCTGCGTTACTTAATCAAAAGTGAAAAATTACTTTTTTTGTAAAAAAAATAATTACGCATTTATGCTGGTGATAAGAAGTTTTTTTTTCAATTTTCCTAGTTGTTCAATAGTCTGGTAAATTGAATGTGTCTGGTCAGTTTTATTCAAGCAACGCGTTTTGAAAAGTAGTGTCCTGAATTTTAATTTCTGTTTTAGTCGCATTGCCCCCAACTCAAACCACAACACATTGGTAAATAATCCATGAAATAGTTTGTCTGGACACATTCAAATTCACTACGTTCAATTACCCACCATAGACTCCGGTCAGTCAAAATGACTATTTTGAACTGTAGGCATTAATCAGCGATTCTGCCTGTGACGGAGAGATAGAATCCAGGTCAGGGGAAGCCCCATGACCTCAAGATTCTTTTACCCCTTACGTCACGAACCCATGTGACCGAGGCCACCTGGCAGCGCCACAGGTAGCCGTCCTTCACTCTTAATTTCTCTCCGCCTCGAGTGGAGATGAAATCTAGCGAGCTCTGCTGGATCGCCTGCTTTTTTTCCTGTCCGGATTTATAGCTTGGGTTGTTGCCGCTGCTCGGCATCCGACAATGGTAGCTGGTAGGATAAGTTTTCCTTGTCTTTTTTACCCTCGTGTCGTTTCCCCTTTGTGTGTAGTATTTTCACAGCAAAGAAATCAAAATCCGGCGCCACTACGTAATCACATGTTGATTTCATGGCGGCACTTTTACAACTGTAATTCGTCTCCCTCATGCATGTCGTCTTTTATTTTTAATGTATTTAGCAATATATCGATGTGATGACAGCTCCAAGGCTCGCTGCCTTTTTCTTCCGGTCTCCTCGTCCTTCGAGCCAACCGTACAGTGGTTTATTCAGAATCTACCAGCATAGAACCCGCATCCGAGATGCTGTCGTGGCTACGTGTGGGTTCCGGGGTTTTTTTGTGTGAAAGCGTGTTTTTTTCACTGGAGTTCTGAGGCCTGAGATTTTCTTTCAGAGCCATCAAAATCGCTGACACTGACCGCGTCACAGCAAGGTCGCGCGTCCAGTAAACAAATCGGTTAAAGTGAGTTGCGTGTTTTGCATGAGTGGAAAGTCCTCACGCTCGGCTACCGGTACTTCATGTACCGGGACGTCGAGTAAGAGGCCCGGCGGCGGAGGTACCGATATTTTCTCGGTCTCCCCCGCTGATCGGAGGGCATCCTCACAGTCTGTTTTTTCAGGCGGTGTTTTTTACCCGATTTTACCGGCTGCAGCGAGGCTGTGCCCCTGGAGGTTTTCCTCTTATGGGGCCCGTTGCGGGTCTCTTCGTGGACCCTTCCTCGCACGGCGCCGAGTTTGCCTCCGAGTTGAGGGCTTTGGTCGAAGGACTGTCGGGGCAGTTGCGTCCCTGGCAGGCCGGGTAGATCAGACGCAGTCGGAGCGAGCTGTCTCCACTGTGTCCCCCTCGGTGGGCAAGCAGGAAGAGACACGAAAGCATGTTTGCATTCAAACACGTCTCTTCAGGGGAACCCCCGTTCCCAGTCACGGCTCTCCCACTATTTTGGGGGGTGGCCGAGGCTCAGGCTAATTGCACCGGTCCTTCTCTGGATCCGCGGGCACTGAATGCCAACGGGGTGCTGGCAGCCAAGTCTCCAATCTTGGGGCAGGGCTTTCAGGGCAGGGCACGTGTTGACCCCCCCCCCCCCACTTTCAGCCAGCTAGGGTTCGTCACGCGGTAACGGTACAACGGTAACGAATTTATCCTTGTGTCCGGTCCCCGCTGTGGGTTTTGACTCCTTTCTTACCGGCCCACGAGCGTCCCCAGAGGGAACCGACCCTGTCATGAGACGCACAGTCGAACACGCTCCCTCTCACATATTTTAAGTTAGAGGAGACGCAGTTCACTCGCGTTGGATACAGCCGGTACTCCGGGCGGTCCCTCAGAGTCTTCCATCTATATGACTCGGTGAGCCACTCTTTTGGGGTGAGGCGGAGTATCATCGATCCCAGTGATACGATGTATATACCCCCACCCTTGATCCTAAAGCGACCACCTAAGGTTGCTTCAACGCTTATGGGATCACGGGCGTCGGGATCCAAAGCAACCCCATCGGCACATCTCTCCCCTGTCCGTCTGAGTGCGGAGTGGGGTGCAGAGCACGCAAACGGTGTTGATGGACAGCGTTGGTCAGCCGCGGAGAATGTAATGCTTAAGGCCCCCGGGTGGGGATAACGTTAGGCAACATTTCCCACTGGACCAAACGCTACCCAGTCGGTGTATTTCGGGATCAGATCCCATAGCGTGGGATGAGACCAAAACACCCCCAACCGGATTCCAAGGCTCCTTCCCCAGACCCCGGTACCATGAATTTGGCAAACCGGGCAAAGGGGGATAGCCGCGTTCCATGGGTGTCTTTGCCAATTGAGGACGACCCATCTAGCCCTGAGGGCAGAGTTGCTTGAGCGCATTATTATGCGTGCCCAGCACTCTGGTGACCTTGGAGGCAGAACGCACCAGCCTCCTAGACCAGGCGACATTTTTACTGGTGGGCCACCGCACATCTACGTGCGACACCCCCTAGTGTTGCCTGGCTCGCTTGGCCAGGGCCACTACTGTGCTACGAGACGCGGCCTTAGACGCATGTGTTTTCGCCGACAAGCTGAGCCGGGGTACATCCCCACCTCAGTGACGCAGACTGGATACCCTCCACCCTCTTTGTTCAGGGAATGGTGGGTACAGTCTCGGAGCTTCGGAGTGCAATGAATCACAGGGTTCAGATCGAATCTGCTAGCCAGTTGGTTCTGCCAAAGGCAAGCGGAGGGCACCCCAAGCACAGAAAACACAACGCCCTAGGGCGTTGTCCGCTAGCCAGAGTCAGCCAGGAGGCAAGCGCCTATACCCTTCCATGGGAGGGAAGGGTAGTGGCGCGCCCCCAGGGAGGTAAGAGCCAGGTGGTGGCTCCTCACCCTCTCTGGGCGGACGTCTACCCGGCAGCAGGGGAAGCATGTTTGACGCTCACCTCTGCAACCGGGGGAGACAGGCACATGTTCGGTGAATGGCCAGGTCACAACTTAGTGACTACTTCAGGCCTTGGGGAACTCGCCTCATGGGGGAAGGGAGCCCCCTCCCCCCTTGCAACTGCCGAACACATGGCCACACATCCCTGTCGTACACAGATTGCGCCGGTGTAGTCCGGTTTGGAGACGGCGGGTGAACGACCCCTGGACCTTCCCAGGTGGTGACATCCATTTACGGCATACCGCTGAAATCTCCACTTCCCCCCGTCAGTGTCTCCCCTGTTGGGCACTGCCAGGGGACTCCCGCAAGGCGGAAGCAATCAGACAGGAAGTAGCAGTTTGCTGGGGAAAGACGCCATACACAGGTACATCAGCCGGAACTAAGTCCAGGCTTCTACCCAAATGTGTTCGTAGTACCAAATCTACAAGTGGCAGGCGTCCAGTTTTGGACCTAGACAGACTGAATCAGTACGTGCCCCTCGATCGGTTCCACATGGAGACACCATTCAGGGTTCTTCTCTCCATCCACCGTTTTGACTGGCTAGCCCCGCTAGATTTAAGCGGGGCCTACCTGCACGTACCGAT